AACATAATGTCCCTCTCAATTAGGACTCTCCTAGCTAGAGTCCTAACAGTTTTACATGAATGTCCCTCTCAATTAGGACTCTCTAAGTTAGAGTCCTAACATTTGATTTCCTGGAGCTTAGTGTTTTATCTTCTTCTTTAGGCTAGGCCAGAAGTCACTCCATAGGTAGATCTCAATGAGCTGCTAATCTAAGGTTCGACATGTATAACTCAATCAATCAGCCATGAGAGTTTGATCACCCAAGTGATGTGGTGGCACCTCCTATGCAAAGCCTAGTCAACCAGCCACTGATGTGGCACCCACCTAAGCCATTCATTAACAATCAGCCTATCCTCCAAAAGAGAGAATATTTCACATTGATAATCTATGATCTCCAGATATGCGCTCATTCTCAACTCTTCTTCAAATTAAACTAATTCATTTGAGCTCCATGCTGAGTTTAGTACGAGAGAGGAGCTTTACCAAGAATGCACATAGCATAAATTTATAGGATCTTTTAATATGAAAGAAATCCACTACCAAAGCATAGTTGTTCAAGCATTTCTAGGTAGTATTTGATTTTAGACATGATGGTATTCAAAAATGGGTTAAGTCTACTGACTGACTTCCCCACGCTGAGCCATAGACTATTTATGACACCAACAAATTGTTGCCACGAGGGTCTAAATAAAAATATTTCTAAAATTTTATGTGGTCTTTTTTTTTTTTTTGCTTTTGAAAAAAACATAATATGAGCGAATGAGCCTTAGAACTATTATCTATATAAGGCTTACTCACTCATGATTAGGAGGGAGTTCAGAATGTCCTTAAGATTATGCCTCCATCAACAAGAAAAATTCCAGATAATGATTTGATCAACATCATGTCCTTAAGATTATGCCTCCATCAACAAGAAGATTCCAGATAATCGTCTGATCAACATGAACCAGGAGGGAGAACAGAATGTCCTTAAAATGATTTAAGATTATTCATTCATCATAAACTCCAAAGTGCTGTTGGCACTACTATTCTTCAACCCCCAGTTTCCTTAACCCATCTCAAAAGCGTGCAAACACACAACCACAACCATGTCCTGATAAAAACAAGACCCAAAATATCACCCTACGTGTCCTCAAAGAGTAATGATCCCATATTGAGGAAAATATGATGATGGTGATGATGATATTTGTGCAATGTTGTTGCTACTTCTTTGTCTATTAACAAAAAATAAAAGAGTTGAAGAAACTATCCTCAATAAGCCTCCCATTGATATTAGCAGCTACATAAAATTACTAGTATGAAGATGGCCACAATATTTCTCTACTAAAGAAGTACTTGAAGAAAGATCTTCTTTCACTTCCTTTCTCTATTACTTAAAAGGTGGATATTCTTAGATAGGAAAAGACATTTTAATCAAGAAGCGATTACTTAAATTCATTATTTGCTCACTACCTTATGAGTTATGCATCACTAGTCGAAGAGAAAAATAAAAAAGAAAAAAAACGGTGGTCGTCTCACTCGTAGGAGTAAGACATCTTCCTATCATATCCATCTCCTCATCAAGAAAATTAAATGGGAAGACAAACTCATGACAAGTGTGCTTGACTAAATCAAATAAAACATTTTTCTCCTTTATCTTTCTAAAAGTTGGGCACTCTGAATGGTTAGATTATTTGTGATGGATGCATCAACTTTGACAAAATGCGTCAATGAAAGCAAAACATGATGGAGCAACAAATGAAGCACAAAGCGGCCATCTCAGAGTTTAAGATAGTACCTAATGTTAAAAAGCTTAAATCAGCCGAAGCGATATGGTTCCCACTTCCTACTGAATCCAATAATGCAAATACCAAGTGCCCGAATCAGTTAATTTATTACAACGTGAGCAACTTGGACATAGCAATGAAGAGGGAGTCTCAGTAGGTGACACACTTCAGTCTATCACATCCAATGGCCCATCAAAGACATGCAATTTGTTCATTTAGCAGTTGGATCGAGTGACATGTCTTCATAAAAAAACAGACCCGATTATCACAGATAATGCAATCAATCGACATCAATAGTTGTCTATTAATTGAAATAAAATGCTAATTTTCAATTCAGATAACGTGTCAAAAAATATCAATTTATTTTAATAAACAGTGCAGGAACTCAGAAAGACAATAATACTCATTATTACCATCACATTATTTATATGATGATTGCTGCATCATTGATATGGTCATCATGATTGGTCATTAAATTTTAAACCAAGACCATGCAAGAAGATGCCATATAACCTCTGGATTCCAGCAAATGCAAGCGCAAAACCATACAAAAAGATAAATAAACAAGTTATCTACACAAGAACCAACAAAATCTAATGATGGCTTGAAGGAATTTCTCAATAAAAATCATATTTCAGAATATGTAACTTGACTGACCAGTTCACTTCGAGGATTGCACTCCACTTTGGAAGAAGCACAGCCGCATCCAACTTCGTTCATTCATGTGTGGAAGAGCCACATGCATCAGAAAAGCACAAAAGCCAATCTTCATAAGATATTATGAGACAATAAGTGGCAAAAACAGTTGTCACTTTGTTTGGACAACCACAGAGAAAGGCAGAGAGATGCAGCCATGCACTGTTTAGTCCAAATCACCTTGATGGCACAGAAACCACTTGTCCTCTCTCATGAAAACCCAAAAAAACACAATTGTATTGGACAGCAAAACCTCAACAACACAATTTACAATATGGATACTAGCCTAGAGAAATTAAGTTCCAAACCCAGCATAGCCTCATTCGAATGAATCCACCATCACATCATAAACAGAGGAATTATGGTCGGGTATTCTCCACTTGGTGTCCTCATCAGAAAAACACAAGGAAAAAGGAAGGCCATTAAGGTACTTGAAATATTTCTCCACTTCATATGGGGCAAGCCTTCCTCTTTTGTCAGCTATAATTTCTACACACCCACACTTCTCTCTATCTATTCTCCACACATGCCCATGCTGCATCTTTCCAATAGAGAGGCAAAAGAAAACATTGATTCAGGCAACCTTTACCCATGGAATGGGATCACCACATCATATTGTGGATATTTCAGAGATTGATACTTCGATGCACGAGCTGGAGACTGCCTTGTTCATGGCAAACTAGACAAATCAGCTCCCAGACAGCTGCATATAGCCGGTACCAATGTTGCACAACCAAAGGCTGAATCATCAACTGAGTTTCAAGGGCAACCCATTGTTCCAGACACCAAATATCATGGTCAAGGTGCAGGGCTTGCTTTGCAGTGTGAAATGGAGAAGCATCCTCATAGTAAGATGAGTGGGATTGTTTCCAGCCCTCATAAAGGGCTTCGCTTCCTTGATAAGAGTTTGGCAGGGGAAGGAGGATGGAACACCATTTGAGAAGCAGTTTGACAAATCTGCAACGAATGGCAGGCTTCAGAAGGAGAACTTTGGACCTTGTATAGGCAAGCTACTCTTGCTTTACCCTGCCTGCATGTTGCTTTTCTTTGTTATTTCTTAAGAATAGATATCCATCATGACTAATTCTCTTTTGGACATATAGACTATGAATTTCTTGCAAAAACACAAACAATTTTTTTTGTTAAGGCAAGGGATGAAGACGGGTTTTGATTCCAAGATCTTACCATGATCTGTCAAGAAAACAAAGAGTTAGACATATGTTATGGCCACTGCAAAGAAATCTATGTAATAACAGAAGGAAGATTCCCAATAATTCTATCTTTTGTTAAAGTAATTACAAATTATACATGTGATCAGATTGAATTGTCAACCATTATCAATATTGGTTTTCTTACCATATTTCTAATAATAGTTTAGCCTCCAAAAGTAATATTCACACAGAAAACAGATTTATCAGAGTGAATTCAGGAATCAGTATACACAGTTCCAAAGTTGGGCAAATTATACCAGAACAAAAAACTGGCAATATTAGGACCACCAAGCTGAAACTATCTACAGAAATATATATATATATAATACTCTCAAAGACAAATTTGATTATGACATTTCTGTTTTTAGTTTGTATCACATCTGATTCATACAAGCAGTCATAGCAACAAAACTAAACCTGATTTAATAAACACGAAGGCATGGCTGAGTCAAAGGACTTCACTGGGAAGCTATTTGTGGCTTTGGCAAGACCAAGGAACTAGGATCCTGAAAATGGAATAATGAAAGAAGAGCTCCACGAGTGTTGGAAAGCAATAACAGAACAAAACTTTGTTTCTCGTCTACGGACATTCTTTGACATGTACATACCTGCTACACTTATCTTTTTTGTCTCTACATTAATCATGACATCCATATGATACAATTTGATTTGCTCATTTTGCTAAGGTGTGACAAAAATGGTGACGGAAAGCTTACAGAAGATGAAGTGAAAAGAGGTAAGCAGTAGAAACGTTTAACTAATTGCAAAGATTTTTAGTCTGGAATGCTGCTTTTGCTTGAAATGTGAGGATTAGATAATATAGATGGTGTCCTTAAAAGGTGATCAAATTGAGTGCCTCAGAAAACAAGCTTTCAAAAGTCAAAGCACATGCTGTTACCTATGCAGCTCTTGTCATGAAGGAGCTTGACCCCGATAATCTTGGTTACATCGAGGTAATATGATGTCCTTCCAGTTCACATTTAAGTATCAGAAAAGGATAACATTGGAAAGCAGAGAAACACCACTTATAATCTTCTACTTCAGATTGCACAACTTGAGACTTTGGTTCGAGGCCTGGTTAACTCACAAGGATCTGAGAGAACACTCAGAAGGTCACATGGGCTTGGAAAATCAATGACAACAAGGCTGTATAGACACCGGACCAACAGACCTGTCAGAAAGACTGCAGATTTTATTCATGAAAATTGGAAGAGAAAATGGGTTCTTTCACTATGGATGATGCTGAATAAAGCTCTAGATGCGTGGAAATTTGAACAGTACAGAAGGAGGTCAGCTTTTCAAGTAATGGGCTATGGTGTATGCATAGCCAAGGCTGCAGCTGAAACCCTGAAGTTGAACATGGCTCTGATTCTCATCACTGTTCGCAGAAATATGCTTACAAGACTTAGATTAACTGCTCTTAATTCAATATTCCCATTTGATGACAACATCAACTTCCACAAGGTAATTATAGGATTTCTGCCACACGATAAACTGAACTCTTTCATAATAGACCATATTCTTGACTTACCATAAATTAAAATACAGATTATTGCATCGGCAATAGCTATTGGGACAGTAGTGCATACTCTTGCTCATGTAACATGTGATTTCCCAAGAATAATAACATGTCCAAAATCTAAGTTCATGACTACACTGGGGCTAAACTTCAACGACAAGCAGCCCACATATCCATCTCTACTAGCCAGTTTTCCTGGAGTCACTGGCACCCTCATGATTTTGATTATGACATTTTCTTTCACACTAGCAACGCATTCCTTCAGAAGAAGTGTTGTGAAGTTGCCATCACCCCTCCACCACTTAGCTGGCTTTAATGCATTTTGGCACGCCCACCACCTCCTGGCACTGGTATATGATCTCCTAGTAGTTCATTCCTATTTCATTTTTCTCACCAAGAAGTGGTACAAGAAGACAGTATGTTATGCTTTCTCTTCAGGAAATGGTGATCTCAAAACATGTACAACACACAGATATTATTGTCTTGACAATGACTCCTTATTTCACAGACATGGATGTATCTCACAATTCCTGTCCTTTTTTATGCCTGTGAGGGATTAATCAGAAAACTTCATGAGAAAAGCTATTGTGTGGCCATCATTAAGGTAAGACTACTCTTATCAATATTTAAAGAGCAGTGGAAGAATATCTCTGAGTCAAATCAAGGATATTTTCCTCTTGTTTTCCAATGTGCTACGCAGGCAGTCATATATCCAGGCAACGTCCTCTCAATACATGTGAAAAAGCCACCAGGATTCAAGTGTAAAAGTGGAATGTACCTATTCATCAAGTATCCAGATGTCACACCTTTTGAATGGTATGTCACAAGCTTCACAGGAAATATTACCGACATTCCTTTATTCATCTTTTAAATTTGATTGTGCGACAGGCATCCCTTCTCAATCACATCCACACCAGGAGATGGCTATTTGAGTGTTCATATTCGATCCTAGGGAGACTGGACCACTGCACTCAGGAACTTATTTGGAAAGGTTCTTTTAGGGTTCTGATAAACTTTCACTTTCTTTGCAAGAAACTATAATCACATTTCAAAATGATATATGAGCATTCTTCAAAACAGGCCTGCGAGGCTCAAGTTAAATCCAAGAAGGCTAATCTAGTTAGACTTGAGACCACAGTAATTGCAGATGTTGAGCATCAAGATACTAGGTAATAAAGAATCTTATATGTCCAAGTGGCACACCTCAATTATCTCTATCTGATGTCTCAAATGTGTCAAGCTTCAGACAAAAATAATTCCCTTTTTGCTTATTTCCAAAGCTTTTCATTGATGGGCCATATGGTGCACCTGCTCAAGATTACAAGAAATACGATATTCTTTTGCTTATTGGACTGGGAATTGGTGCAACTCCATTTATCAGCATATTGAGGGATCTTTTGAATAATACACAGTCCCAACATAGTAACTTCATATTGAAATATCTGTTTCAGAAAAACCTTTAGTTAGAACAACTATTCATAGCCTGAAAGATTAATGCAGGAAATGCAGAATGAAGATGAACCAGATAGTGAAAACAAAGGAAATGGCCCAGGAAGGGCTTACTTCTATTGGGTGACCAGGGAACAAGGCTCCTTTGAATGGTTCAAAAGTGTCATGGATGAAGTTGCAGAAAGTGACCACAATGTATCTCCTAAAAAACCGTTGCTTCCTTCATACTCATTGAATATTCCGAAAAAGAAAAAACTGACAAATACATTATTCTACTTTTCAGAATGTCATAGAAATGCACGACTACTTGACAAGTGTGTATGAAGAAGGTGATGTTCAGTCCACTCTTATGCCGATGGTTCAGTCACTTCAACATGCCAAAAGTGGTCTTGATATTGTCTCTGGAAGTCGGGTAATTACCCTTTATCATAAACTTTTCGTAATCTCAAAGAAAAGAAAAATGTTTGCTCCTTTCTGGCTAATACATGACAGATAAGGACACTTTGCAAGGCCAAACTGGAGGAAAGTTTTTTCTGACTTGGCAAGCGCACACAAGGCCTCTCAAATAGGTTAGCTATATTCAATTGAACTGTGCAATTTGTATTACTCTTAACTTCTAAATATGTGGAACTGCAGGTGTTTTCTACTGTGGATCTGCGAAGCTCACACAACAACTATGGAACCTTTCCCAGGAATTCAGCAATGATACCACTACTCGCTTTGATTTCCACAAAGAGAACTTCTAGCAGGGTCATTGGAAATATAGACTTGTGTAAAATTAAAACAAAAAGAAAAAACAGCAAGAGGTCATCTGATACTTTGAAAGAAGAATCCATAAACTGAATTTCCGTTGTTGAAGCTGCACTAAGTATTTATACATGAAGTAGAATCAAATAAATATTGAGAATCAAACATGATTTCCTGCTCTCCGTTGCTTTCTAACAATAATCAAAATTTATTTGGATCAATTCCTTAAACTCCATATGGTAGTTTTAAGTAAAAATAATTCTCCTTCTTCAATACAGTTTCTAATGTTCTAATTCCAAATCTTTTGCCTCTTAGCAAAATTCTTCAGCAGTGATATCAGTGAGTAGTCTTTCACCTTTCTATCTAAATTCAATGGGCCAGAAGCAGCTCTATCAAATTAAACCAAGGTTTCATATTCTGATAAATTTGACCAAGCTGCAACCTTTCCTGTCTCAGACAAACAGTTCTCAGAGTAACATATTTGAATATCCACTTCCTATTTTTTTAATCTTTTAAGTACTTTTTGCCTTCAAACTGCGTTCACATTTCCTTGTGCTGCTTAAAACTATTTTTCTATCCATGTCACTTGTTTCGGATATTTGAAGCAGCTCTAGTCTTCCTTCTTCCTGCCCTTCTTTGTGTATCCTTTCCTTGTTCTGGGTAAAGTTATTCCTGATGTAGAAGCAGATTGCTTTAACTTGCACATTTGCAAAGCCAAGGTTGTTAATGGAATAGAGATATCAAGTGGTAATAACACTTCCTCTAGTTCATGCCACTCAAGATCTTCAGAATCACCATCTTCATAAATCACTTTATACCAATTTACTTCAGTGTCAAACTTGACCACTGTTCCAGAGTAATACTGGTCTCCAAACAACTTCTGAACTTTCCTTCCCTCTAACCACTCACCAAAGCATGGGTCATTTATTGATCCAAAACCAGTTATGTCCTTATGAACAGGTACAGAAGAAACAGGAAGCATAGGTGGCACACCATCAATTGCAATAGCCGGCTCCCCAATCACCTCAAATACAACTGCAGGTTCCAATTCTTGCCCAAGGCACACTGTATCTATCATGATTCGTTCACGCAAAGTAAGCTGTCATACAAAAAAGTAGAGGAATGTGAAATGAGTACATAATATGAAATTTTCAGATAATTAAAGCTCAAGTGCACGATGATGTAATTGTAAAAATACAAAACCACACTTATAACAAATTTTATTTAATGGATTTCTTTTAGGCCAAGACAATGACAACAACAACAACAATTAATATTTTGGCACCCTATGAAGCACCGACACATGCATTTGGTAGGTGTATCCCGTGACAAACACGTGTCGAACACGGATATGTCACCGACACGACCAGGCACATCTCCAGCCATGTCTTATTTATTTATTCATTTTATATTTTGGACACAACACGACTCCTATGTGCTTCGTCGTGTAGTGCTCGCGTGCAATCCTAAGCTCACGTGGCCCTCACATGACAATCCATCAACATGAAATCTCATGATTTTTGGAGGATTTCTCGCCAAGATTGTAATGAATCTGGAGGATCGTCAGTGTTAAATTTTGCATAGCCCTTTGTCACTGATAGTTACAAACCGAGGTGCACAACAAAGGGTTCCAAGTTTTTAGCGATATCCTCATTGGTCCTCTGGCCAAACTATGGAAGAGGTTGCTGATTTCCCCATTAGCAAAGCAAAATTTCCTCATTGGATACAACACGCCATCCACCACGTCCAAACTACGGAAGAGGCCCTCTGACCAAACTATGGAAGAGGCTGCTAATTTCCTCACCGGCGAAGCAAGATTTCCTCACTTGAGACAACATGTCGTTCACCACGACCCATTGTAGGCCCTCAACGACCTCACCAACGAAGCAAGATTTCCTCATCAACTTGATTTTACTAGAAGAAATTCTGCCCTAAGCCCACCTCTGTCAACCACGACCAGGCACGCCCTTGGCGACCTCATCGGCATCAAGAAGCATTGTTGCTACTAGTGCACCCTTGGCAACCTTACTGACCCCACCTGCGGTTGCACAGTGAGAACCCTATGTGGTCCTCTCTTTCTGGTTCACCTGTCTTTACATCTTCATCGCAAGGTACCATATGCAGTCCTCTCTTTTTGCTTCCCTGCTTCAGTTTGATTTCTAATGGATTCTATTTTAATTTCTGGCTGCTTTGATTTGTTAAGACACACGCTCTCATTCCTAAGGATGTTATCAATTATTCATGTTTGCTTATTGTACTTGCAAATTGGGTGATTGCTCAATTCATTATAGGTTCTCCATTTTATTGCATTTCCTTGATCTATTGTTTGTACTTTAGAAGTGAAGTAGGATAATTGTCGAGGTCAGCAGGTTCATCTCTGTCTTCAACAATTTGGTTGTATTTTGAAATTACTTAAATACTTTCAATGTGATCATAAGAATAAAATGGAGAAGCTAGGCTCGGATGGAATTCTTGAACTTCAGATTTGGAAACTCTAATTTGGTTTATAATGAGGATCGAGGATTGTTACCAACAAATATGAGAGTCATTATGCTTCTTCTTTAGTACTAGCTTCTTAGTGATTATGAGCACCTAAACTAAGTTCTTCTACCTGAGTATAAATACTACAAAACTCATGTTAATCGAATATATATATATATATATATATATATATATATAT